GGCCACTGGTTCTTCTTCCATTGCATTCTCCTCCTCTTGAGGGAATATTGATAATACAGGAATGACAGGATTTGTGCAGTCTTGTTTCTCTTCTTTTTCTTGTCTTCCTGTATCTTGTACTTTGCTCTTCTTTGATGGAGACTGTTCAATCCTTTCAACTGAAGGCGTATCGTCCACCTCAGTTGAGGGGGTCTGGCGATCCTTCATTTCTTGGGACGGGGTCTGGTGACTACTCTGCTCAATATTATGAGCACCAGACCCAGTATCTTCCTCTACCTTCCCTTCCCTCTTTTCTAATCTTAATATGGCCCTTCCTCCAAGTAGTCCAAGGTCTTTAAGTGCAGTCCTTTTTAGTTCTCTCTCTCCGCTAACTTGCCTCCTCATGTATACTATAGTGAGGTGAGCATTAGCTTCTACTCCTGTTAACTTGTGTGTCTCCAGTATATAGTGCAGTGTTGTTGAAGGTGAAAAGGAGCCAGAGAATCTCTGACCGTCTTCAGTTTGCACGACCAATTGGACCATCTCTTTATCTACAAGATGAGAGATAGGAGGAAATAAGCTATTACAACTTGATTCATAAGCCCCATTTACACTATGCCCTCAAAGCGGTTTGAAATCAGTCTGAAAAAAGCCAGTTTGAAAAATGAACCAGTTTACGTGTGAACAATTTCAATGCGGTCACGGTTTTCAAAGCGCTTTTGATGTGCTTTGTTGATACAGCTGAAATAATGCGCATTGATTGTGTTCACACTAGCAGGTGAATCATATATCATTTTGTGTTCTTGTTGCCATTGGTTTATTTAAAGGCCTTTTCACACTGGCACAGTTTTCAAAGCGCTTTGATGCGCTTTGTTGATACAGCGAAAATAATGTGCATTGATTGTGTTCACACTAGCAGCTGGATTATGTATCATTTTGTGTTCTTGTTGCCATTGGTTTACATTGATCGAAGCACATCACTTCACATCAATCCACCTCTGGAGGTGAAGTGAGAGTGATGCGCATTAATATAAAACCACTCTAGTGTGAACACGATTAATGCACATCAATGCGCATTACTTTGGCCAATGTGAAAAGGCCTTAAACCACTTCAGGTAAGTGGTTTGAGATAATCAAACAGGTTTAAGTACTTTGAAGCAGCTGTATTATGTATGCAATGTAGCATTGTAAACCGATTCAACCACAGTTACGTGTGGACACAATTAAGCTAGTTTCTGAACTGCTTTGATCCAAACTGGTTTGTAGTGTAAACGGGGCTATAGTTTCAAGCCAGAATGATGCCATGCTACAATTAATTAATCAAGCCACCCAAAAACACTAAACCTAATTGCAATGGCAAAATTCCCAAATTCCTCCTGCTTTCTTACATGCATAGCGTAGTGGTCAATACAATCTTTCTCTATTTATACATACCAATTGACCTGACGGTTTCTGACTCAACCAGTTCCAGTTTTGCGTTGTTAGGAAGTCCGCTGTACCTGAAAGGAGACGAGAGGTCCACGTTCTTCAGCCCATGTCTAGTAAACATTGATTGTTAGTAGATAAGTCTCATACACTGGCTCACTTCAGTACATGCTTAGACGAATCATACCCATGCTTCTCACAACATTGCTCCACTACCTGGCAATTAAAATTAATGCAAAATTTCCTCTATAGCTAAAACTAGAGGTTTTAAAAATAGCTGTATATTAGCTCTATCTCTTACATAAAGGAGAGGTGCATTGGGGCCCAGTTTAACTGTTACTCTTCTGCCATTAGGACATAGAACTTGAACAGACATTTTCTACTTCTAGCTAATTAAAAAAATAATTTCTGCTGAAATGGCACCCACTTAATTAGAGCCTAAAGGCAAATGCGGTATTTTTTTTAACCCTTTGAAGTTTTGAATTATTTTGAAAATGGCGGCAAGCAGAGAAGAAGGTAAATATCCCTCTATTTTTCTCTCCTTATACTTTTTATCAGTTTTGAGTCTAGCAAGGACAGTGTTAGAGCAAGCAGGGATCAGGAGGAGCATATCTTCCGTGAAACAGTTAAACTCTGCTTTTTTCACGAGCCTTTACAACACTATCATCGACGAAGAGCATCAGAAACTGACCCCGTTGGGAGTGAACGAGAGATCACGACTTCAAATGATTATAGACTCTCTCAAGCGGCTCCTACCACCCCAAGTCTCCCTCTCCCATATAAACGGGCGAGATATTTCAAAGGTGCCGATAAATAATTTCAAATTTTGAATAGTTTTATGACCCCGCCTAACACCCACAGGGTGACCTCCTGGCCATTAAGAATCTTCTAGAAATATTTTCTATCATTTTTGAGCTTCCTTCGTCATCCTCTGAAGACTCTAATGTTCTCACAGGAGAAGGTGGTAATTGGCGTAAAAATTCTATTGTTTTTGATCTCTCTCGCTGCTCATGCAGGTTTGAAAGTTGTGGCTGAAGTCATTGAAGAGGAACTGAATTCATCTTCAGTTTATATTCCAACTGCCATTGAGTCTCTTCACTCGTCTCTTGTGACTCCGCCTACTCACCAATCATCATCATCAGACGGGTCTCAGTCAACACTAATGACTCCGCCCACTAATCCTTTGATGTCGCTAGATGTCACACCCACTGTTTCACCGACTAGCCACCAGCCAGTGTCCCTACCTCTGGACCAGAGCACTCCTCATAAAGGTAGGCATGACATTCTCTTTATAATTAAATGTAATTGTAATAATCGTTTATTTTCAGGCCCAAGATCAAGGCTAGATACTTTGGACGGGAAAGTAAGTCACTTGATTAGATTGATTTATGATTGAGTATTAACATTGTACATGTACATGTGTATCTGACTTTAGGTCGCTCCTCCTCCTCCATTAAGTATCAGTTCTTTATCAACTACACCCTCAAACGAAACGCACCCACAAGACAACCTTATCAACATAGACCAAGAGAGGATGAGCAAAGAAGAAACAGAGGAGGAAGAAGAAACAGAGGAGGAGGAAGAAGAGGAGACATTGACAGAAGAAGAAGAAGCGAGAGAAGGAAATGAGAGATACAATGAATACGAAGAGAAAGGAGGAGAGAGTGAAGGAGAAGAGAGAGATGATGTGTCTAGCAGCATAGATACTAGACCACACACTGAAGATATACTACAGACAATGTATAACAATTATGTTGCTAGTGGTTGCTCCCACAAACTTAGCCCTCGGTTTCAGAGAAATGGGAATCCACACAGAATCAAAGATAAGGCAAGTATAGTTGTCATGACAATATAGTAAGTGACAATATGTTTATTACATTAGAAGAGATTAGGCACAAAGCATGTGTCAACACAACGGAGACGGTCTCAGCAAACATCTACTGGTGAGTGGAATGGGAGTGTGGGCTGCTAGGGAATCTGATCTGCTTCAAGCTAGTATACTACATGTGAAATATCTCCTTATACACATTACATTCACATTAAAAAATTGGATGTCTAATGAATTCTACAGTTGCTCAATATTTGACAAAACACCCTGTACTATTATAGTACAGGGAACTGGCTAGGAGAGAAACCCCCGTTTTCTGATGCATGTACACATGTAAATGTTGTGTAGTGAATTTGAGCTAATTCCAATTAAAATTAAATTTTTAAAGTTACTCAAAAATCAGGTCAAAGTCCCTGTACTATAGTACAGGGTCATTGGCCAACTTTCACCAAAAGTGAAAAGGAGAGAATTCTTGATTTTTATAATTTTTTCTGATGCATATACATGTTCTTATGTTGTGTAGAAAGTTTGAATTTATTCCAATCAAATTTGGATTTTTTTACAAATTTTTAAAGCTGCTCTAAAGTCGCCAAAGTACTGCCATTAAAGTTGCTCATAGATCTAATGTTATTTATTTTAGGTAAGCTAATGGCTACAGTACAAGATGCTTTCCCAGAGCTTCAGCTCAGCCCGGCCAGCGAAAGAAAGGCATGGCACCTCAGAATGCGTCAGCTTAATGCCCAGTCAACGACAAGAACCCTTCCTGACTCAAATCAAAGGAAGGTCTGGTAATAATGATTATATGCTTTGTGGGAAAACAAATTTCTTTACGGGGCTTCGTTCTAATTAGATCTACATGTATACTGATTTTCAATTTTAAAAATTGAAATTGCATCTCACTCACTCACTATGCTTGAATGTACGTACATTGCACATACAGTAGACATGTATTTATGTGGGCATTAAATTGTTTTTTTATGTAGAATGCTGACATTGAGAGGCGTCACAAGCTATTATTGGATACACTGAAAAAGGAGTTAACTCATAGTCAAAAAATGGTAAGAATGCTATCAACTTGCAGTGAATGATTGCTTGTTTATTGTGTTACTCACTCTCACTCACTCTCTCTCTCTCTCACTCACTCTCACTCTCTCTCTCTCTCTCTTCCTCTCTCTCTCTAGCACAATCTATCAGTCAAAAGGCAGCAAGAGAAAGCTTTACGATTAGCCATACAGACCCAGCGGGCAGTGACTGCTAGAAGCAGACGGTATTACAGTGATTATGAAGTATCTATAAAAAAGAAACTTCAAAGAGAGAGAACAAAGGAAGAACAGGTTGTTACCAGACACACACCCTGATACGAACCGCCTTCCCCTTTCCTTAGATATTCAAGAAAGCTTTTGAAGACTGTCT